TATAAATATTAAACTAACTGCGGTTGGCCTCCATACTGACATACTTATACATACACACATGTTACGTATATGACATGCACTCCGCCGCTTTCAATACCTAAAGTGATCAACCACAAACACACACACACACATGGGCAGACTGTCATGCAGTAAGTCATTCACTCATTCACTCATCAAACATCCAACCCGTCCCACAGCCTCAGCTTGTCTCAATGGATTACCTGGCAGCGGCTCTTACGAGTCCTGTGCCCAGCCCAGAGCAGCCCAGCCCCCTCCCCGCTTATAATTTATGCCACTCATCTTAATAATTTTGGGCGCAAAACTTTCCCAACATGCAACGACATTGGCAGTGGCAACTCAAATATTTTAAATATTTACTTAGCCAGCAGAAATGCATCGGTTACAACGAGGATTGGAATTTCGTGTGTGCTTCGTTATGTTTTATAAGATTAAAAAAAATTTTGAAGTATTTTGAAAATCAACCTCAATATAAATTGATTAATTTTAAAATGTTTAATTTTGTTTTATTATTTATATTTTTCCACAAACTCACAAACGAAAAATCGGTGTTAAAAACAAATTTGTATGTTACCAACTATCACAGATCAATGAAAAGGCTTTTAAAAATATTTTATTATAATTTGAGAAACCGATTTACAAATTTAAGGAACTGAATCAAGTAAGGTGTTTCGTGTGTCGTGACCCCTGTTTTGGCCAATTGAGTGCATCCCTGGCATGGTTACCTTCGCCTTGGCATGTTACATCAACTTCGTCGACGACACATCTTGTCACCGAAAGTAGCACACACACCTACACACTCACACACACACACACACACACACACACACAGACATATTTGCATGCACATAGCTGAAACGCCCCATGCGGCGGTTTTGCTGTTTGTTTTAGTGCCAATGTAGCATAGTTTTATGCATATCCTAGTAGTCCTGTGCGCACCATCTTTGGTATGGCATAAATTTGAGCTACATTGCTGTGCATGAAAATGCTGCGGCTGCTGGCTGCTCCAAGCAAAATTTACTTTGCTCTACTTGACTTTTCCTTTTTCATTTTTTTTTCTTTTTGTTTTGTAGCCCAGTTTTCATTGGTGTTGCTGCCTTGGCACAGCTGAACGCCCTAAAACGGTAAGCATATTTGCGTACGAGTGTGTGTGTTAGTGTGCGAGCGGGTGTATGGGTGTTCGTGTGAGTGTACACACTGCACATTATTCATTCATGTTGGACATCCACTTGAAAATTGACTTATGTGATGTGCACATACATACTAACTTACAAAAATACATACATATACAGGCTTTCAAGATGGAAGACAGAGACATCCTGGCAGATGACGCCTGCTGCTCCAGCCGCTGCATTGCCAACATTTTGTGGTAATGTGCATTAAAAATTACGTATACGATTTGTGTTCTCAGAATGTTTAAACAATGTTGGGCGCCAGGCTTGTCACGTGCCGCAGGTGTTAACGATAGAAGATAAACAGAAGAAGACCAATTAGAATAACGAGGAGGAAGAGGCTCATTTCTAAAGGCCGCCAGTGGCTGTAATGTCGGTAGCACTTTGGCCAAATCCAATTAACTTGAACTGTAGCTAACATAGATACACCAACACACTCACACACACAAACACACAATTCGCCACTCACATACATAAACAAGCTTAGACCACATATACACGCACCGCCTGAGCGCTTGGGGTATTGTTGCAAGCAAAGAAACTGCAACAAAAACACATCGCCTTAGACGGAAATCCGTTTGCGCTGCGTCTCGCGCATCAGATATTATAAACATTTTTGGTTTCTGCATATTTAAGGGCGCCGCTATTATTCAAGGCAGTCCAAAATAATTTTGGTGACAGGTCGAGGGCGGAGTATAATCCAAGAGCCGCCGCACAATGGCGCATAACAAATATCCTTTCGCGCAGCAGCTGCTACATAATAAAGCGAACGGCATCCTTCACTCCGCACGCTCGCAGACAAAGCGCCAGGCGTTGGCCATACTTCGACAGCGCCCGAGTGAAGCAGCTGAGCATCAAGCAAACTGGGTCATGTTTACAATTAACTTTTTGGCTGCAGTGGAGCCACAGCCAACTGCAAGAGCAAGTCCTGCCTTGGTGCCAGTTCCTGAGCTGGCCACAACCGCAGTGAAGCCTCAGAATCATCAGTCTCATCCAGCATGCACAAAGGACTGACTATGTGCACTGGTTTAGCTCACGTTTTGGACGCACTAATGGCTTAAAGCCAGGACGGTCACAAAAAATATCCTTGAACGATTCCCACATTCAGCAGATCGCCGCAGTATTTTTCTTTTTTGTCTGTCGTTGGTGCTGCACATTGCTCATGCATTCAACAATATTAAGTGGTAATTTCCATTTGTAATGAGCTGCGGCTTCTGATCCTTTCAGCTTGCACATGCATAATGCAAAATAGTCAAGCAATTTCCCTAATTAATAAGTCCTTGATAGGGCAAGTTAAGTAGTATAGGCATACCTCCAAACACCCGCCAGGCCACAACCGCAAAGCTGTCAGCGTCGATTTTAATAAGCCTAATTAATAGTGCACCACACAAAGGAACAAAGGAACAAATTCATTAGTTGAAACGAAGCGCATGTAGTGAATAATTTAGGTATTCCCATTTTGCAATTGGCCGGCAGCGGCAGATGCGAAATTTGTCCATGCAACTGCTGTAAACTCTTGACAAAAAGTACCATTTCTTATTACAATATATTGAGTCCCGTTTTCGGTGCAAAATTACGTAAGTAGTATGGTATAGATGTTCCCATGACATTCAATAAGCGTCTAGTAATTTGCTGAATATACGAATGTCTTTCTGAAACGCTTAAAATAAGTAAAATAAAAAAATAAATGATGTGTATTCCTACAAACTTTTTACTCTTAAACTTTAATAGTAGTGAGTATGAAGCCCGCATATGCTATGCATATATAAAGTTTAAAGTTCAGACTTGAGTTTATTAAAAGAAACGCTCCACTCACACATCCAATATTTAAGTTCAATTTTACCCATTTGGAAACACAATTCAACTGCAATATTAAATAACTTTATACCCTTAAGCGGTATTATGAGCCTCACAAAAACAATGGACAATTGAAGCAGTTTACACCTTTTGTTTTATTTTATATAATTTATTATTTCTTTTCTTCGTTTTTGTGTTCTTTACATATTTGTTGGGTTTTTGGTAACCAAAGCACGCAGCCACGCTTGAAATTATGCTTCCTGTAATTTGACATGCAGACAAAACATTTAACACCCCGCTGGTTGCATTGTTTGGTCTATGTGGGTGGCCACTGTGGGTCTCTCGTCAGCATCTGTGTTCAGCCCTTGGGGCATATAGTTTGAGAATAAACTGAAATAAACAACTCACACACACACAACGTGGAAGGAGGTATCCATGTTCCGCTCAACGATAAGCGGCAAATATAACGATTTGTTATTGGTGATTAAGAATCCATTAAGCTTCGCCAATATTTAAGCACTCTATACTCTTTGCTCCAATAGGGTGACTCAGGGACGATGAATCAATTTTTTAATATATAAGAGACTGGCTTGATTCATACTCTGCCAGATAAAATGGTTTTTATAATAAAAATGACCAATTTTCTTAAAAAAACAGGATGAAAACAGAGTAAGTTATCGATTATCGAAAGCAAACTCTCTGCGCAGGCACTAGGAGGACTTACAGTTAAATTTCAAGTCTCTAGCTCTTATAGCTCTTGACATCCTTGCGTTCATACATACGGACAGACGGACGGACAGGCAGACGGGCATGGCTAGATCGACTCGGCTTTTGATGCTGACCAAGAATATATATGCTTTATGGGGTCGGAGATGCTTCCGTTTGCCTGATAGATACATTTGCACACACACATAATACCTTTTCTACCCATTTTTAATGGGTTCAGAGTATTAAATGAAGTTTTGCACATCGTAAGCTTTTCCTAAGAGGAATATTAACAGTATTCACAATAAAAGTAGTTTTCCTTATCAAGCTGCTCCAATCCTAATCAATACTACTAAGCTATTGCCAATCCTATAGCCTTATAATAGCAAATAAAGAGCCTTAATATTTATTTCTTACTAATGTTAAGCGCAAGCAATAATCAATATTACGGGGTATCTAGGAGGCGCGCACAATTATAAACATAATCGTGTTTCGGCTAATTTTTTGTTTTTCTCCCCTTGCTCTTCAAAACGATCTAATTAACTTTTATTACTGCTTATTGTTGCGTTGCGGAAAAACCGTTTTCATATTTTAATTATGTTGAAGTGTCATGAGTTTTAATTGTAAATTATGGACCAACACAAAAATTACATAAAGCGCCAAAAACCAACAAAAACAATAACAAGAAAACAGGCAATGAATGCGTCCTAACCACTCTTACCACCAAGGAGTGGTACCCTGTACCAAGAGAGAAAATCAGACGTTTCAGATGCACCAAGAGCATCGAAAGACATTAATCTACTATAAGCAAAATTCCAGCCGTAAAAAGGAAAGAATGGGAAACTAACCTACATGCTTGAAACGTTTTAAAATAAAAATAGTCATGTTTTGACGATTTTGATTTTTCACTTTTGTGAAAGATCTTCCAGCTGTGCTACAAAACTTAATCTTTTGAATATATTTTGAAAGATCTCCTTGCTAACTGATTTTTATAAGTTAAAGTGGGAATTGCTAGATTTCCTATCTTGAGTGAAGGTTGTCAATAATACTCACGGTTTCTAAAATTAGTAAATATTCTTACATTTAAGTAAAATACCAGGAAAGAGCATTTTATATCTTTCGCCACAATGTTTTCTAGCTTTCTTGTAGATGTTTGAGAAATAATTATTTAATTCGTGCATACAATTAGACTAACAAGTTTATTCAACTACGCCACTGGCAATGCGACGACAGCAACCACATCGCACAACCGCGCTCGCCACCACATCCGTCCGAAGTCCGAGTCTACTCATCGTCCATAGACCAAGTTGTGCACATGCCATAATTATACGCTTGATGGCGCTGGGCTGGCAGCGATGATTACGTAGCCGCCTTTGTTGTTGTTTATTCATTAATGAGTGCAACACAAAGCGGCGGGCGTCGTCCTGTGTTTCAGTGTGAGTACTTACCGCAAAACACATATACAATTACATATATCGCACGCATACACTTACACACACACACATACAGACATATAGCGAGCAACACTCTATAAGCATTTTGCAGTTCCTATGCCCTTTATGCGGGCCCTGTCACTTACACGCAAAATTTAGCAAAGCGCTGCAATAGCGAGGTGTTGTGTTCGCTTCTCACCCGCATCATGTGTATGTGTGTTTGTGTGTGTGTGTGTGTATGTGAAAAGTCTTTGTTGTACTGAAATTGCATATTTTGCAGCTTGATAGCTCATTACGCTGACACTTGATTGTTGCACGAACCAGCCAGCAGGAGCAAACAGCAGACAGCAAGAGTTGCCACCAAATTTCACTAGTCGACACGGGAGGCAACCTTCAGTGATTAGGGATGTGAATCCATGGCATTCTTGCCAGTTCTCAAAAGCATAAATATAAGTGTCTAGTAATGTAATTGTATTTAACTCTTAAACGTTTTAATGAAAATGATACGCCAATGGAATTCAACGTGTGCACTCTATTTGTTTTTAGCCTATTAAAATGCAAATTTTCGCACGAATAAATTTATCAAATTTACAACTACTGATAGAAAAACACAAGCTACACAAGCTTCATAACAAGTTTTAATGTTGACTTTTTCGTATTTTGTTTACATATTATAATTTACTGATGTGGTTGGTGCTTTCTTTAGTAATGATAAAATAATATTTTTAACGTGAACGAAATCGGCTTTTAAAACGAACAAGAGGAAAATATCATTTTATACTAGCGCGAAATTGTAATTGATATCTGTTTCGTGAGCTGAGCACGCGCTCATCGCCAATGTTTGTTTCTTTCAACAAAGGCGCTTAAGTGTTATTATTGGCCATACACACACACATATACATTTACAGACACACACGCACATGCACACAGATATATATGTAGATAAGTAGAGAACCTTACCTAGTGCTGGCCGTGACGAGAACCTTTGGCAACGCTTCGCGCTTTTCCCTGCATTGCCAACGACATTAAAAATCCATTTAGCGTGACGCTCAATGCAGCTTTAGCTGGTTGGCGAGGACGGTGAGGAGCAGTGTAGCAGGCAGCAAGAGCATCTCGTCATGGTGACTGCGAATGGGGCAAAGACAACGAGCAGCATGGGTACCAGCCACACCCATAACAGACGATAGCGCCCCCGCACGCTAATAACCCATTGAGTGTCTGCAACTTTGCCAGTCATTGTTATTCAAGGGGAGTTGCGTTGCAGCAGGGATGGCGCGGCATTTATTGAGTTATTTTTAAATTTGCCGCAGGAATTTGTTAACTAGAAAAACTGAGTGCAAACAAATGGAGCTTTTAAAATTTAGTGCACTTAGCCAGCTGCCAGCTGCTAACTGAGCTTTCATTAGCCATCTAATTGCAATTGAAATCTGGCCAGGCACTAAAGAGCATCGTCATCGCTGCATCTGATCGTTGGCAGCAAATTGAAGATTTTCACTTTTGACCAGTCAGCAGCTCATTTGTGTGTGTCTCTCATATGTAATTAAATGCTAACCGTGCCACGCCCACTCTGAGCACGCTCTACTGATAATGCTGTCCCTGATTAGGCGCAATTAACATGCTCCACGCACAACGCTGACGTGGACATCAAAGCTGGCCATGCAACGCCCACAAATGCCTCCCCCAGGGGCCCCAAAATGAAGCTTGGTCAGAGAGTGTGGTGTGCTGCACTGAAGCTAATCAAGTGGTTTAATTGGAAAGCAAACTTGGATTTAATGGTCACACCATCGATAAATGTGTCTGTGTGCGTTTGTGAGTGTGTCCATTCAAAAAGGATTAGGAACACTTGCCAATTTACAGCCTTGCTAGCAAATGTCTATCCTGGGATGCTTTTAGCTTTGTAATATATAGTATTTAATGAAGTGTAATTTTAAGAAATCCTTAACCAACTATTCGTTGGATTAGGTAACGTTCGATTTAATTTTGTGTTCTGCCCGGCAGAAAGTGAGGTTTGGTTTCCATAATTCTTTGAAAGATACGCTCCTGGTCGTTAAATAATTGATAAATAAAACAAATATAAATGTAGAGCAAAAACAATTGTTGGACATTGGTATATATATAGGATTATTAATAATTGTTTTATTATGCATTTGCAGCATTTGTGAAATATTTTCATTAGCTTAATGGCATAATTAATAATTAAGCACCCAAGTTTAAATTTTTAGTCAATCTTGGAAATATAGGTCAAATATAGGTTAAATATTCTCTCAAATGAAACCCCAAACCATATTCAATACATATTTTACATACATTTATCTATCTGAGTATATATTTAAGCAACAAAGTTATACTCACTGAGCAGTTTGCTTTTATTTGTCCAACAACTTTTTCTAAATACGAGTAAATGAAATGTTAAAGATAAAGCTCCCTTTGAAAGTCGGTGAACGTCATGAAAAGGTAACCAATGGAAATCAAGTTAAAAGGCTTCGCACGGGCCAATGCGCTCCTTTTGGACTCTGGAAACTTATCTCACCTGGCTTGCGCAATCAAATACCATACAAAAACAAAGCGATCCAAAGAGAAGCAAAACGTAAAACTAGCTGCAGCATTTATTTTGATTTCTTATACAAAAATAAAAAGAATAGAGCAGCGCTAACTTTTAAAACTTAATTTATATGCACGCACACACAGGCAGCAGAAAGCACTACAGAGACATACCCGAGGATTCAACTTACGCCATAGAGGAATTTAAAGCGTGCTCGTATACACACACAAAACACAGACACACGGGCACACACACACACACACATCTACCCACAGAGGCAAAGGCGTTTGGATGAAGCTGAACACAGCAGCTGGAGTCCAATTTCGGACCTGCGTGTAATATTTTCAACTTTTTATTTATTTCAACTTTTATTTTTATTCTCCTCTTTTTTCAATTTATTTCAATTTTGACGCTCTTTTAGTTTGTCGTTTTTTGTGTGGCCTGTGACTTTAGTTAAAAATTTACAGAGCGCAAACAAAACAAATTTATGGTCTGACAACCTAAAGGGTTCCTCTGTCTCTGCGATGCGTCAAATCTACGCCTGATGTTTTCTTATGTTCCAGCAATCGGTTTCGTTTCAGTTCCAACAAATTTATAGGACTTTGAATTTGATTTAAGATGCTAAATTAGAGCATCAATAAAATAGCAAAAAAAAGCCAAAAAAAATGTTTTCTATCTTCCACCTCCAAATATCCTTACTTATGTTCAGGCTGGAAATTCATTCATTCTTCAAAGGAGAATACTTTTAAACACTTATGATAAGTTAAGATTGTCATTTGTCTGTGGTTGTTTTAATAACAATCGATCAATTTAAGATAACCCTTTTTATAGATATTTAAATTTGCATGTCTAAATATGTATATTTATCCCCTCAGTCAGGGCTTAAGCAAATAATAATATAATAATCATGATATCAAAAATGAATTGAAAATTCGAAATGTAGAATTAATTCATTTTGAGAAAGTGAAAAGAAAGTCCCAAAGCGCTGATAAATTTATGTCGAAAAACAGCTGTTGGATCTGAAATGACGCAAGCTACACTTCAAAGGGAGTGTTGACCAAACCGACTAGGCATAATTTGATTAAAGAAACGCTGCACACATATTGGGAACTCGGTGGCAAACTGTTTGTAATGTTCAGTCAAAAACAAAATCACACACTCACACAAATAGTGCCTGGATGAATGAAATAAATTATCGTAACAATGTCAAATATTTGACTAGTACAATTGCTTTAGCCCAGCCGTAGTTAAAGGAATCAGTGTGCGGCGCTTTAAAGTATGCAACAATAAATTGCATTTTGCGCTGACAGCCGAGCCCAAGAAATGGCAGCCTTGCAGAAAGGAAAACTCATTACAAATGACTGCATTAATTTCAACTCGAGCGAACAAATGAAGCTTCAGAGACTGCCGGGCAGGCAGGGGCATGGCCAATACTAAGGAGATGCGGTAGGAGACTTACAACGGTGGGTTGAGTAGGCGTGGTATAAAGAGTGCTGTAAAGGGCAACAAAGGTAAAAGGCAAACGACAGCCACTTGAGTTGCATTTGTGCGCGCCAGGAAAATGCAATTAAAAGGCGCATCAAGTGCGCGATGCCAAATGGGCGTGGCAAACGCCTTGAGCATCATGCAACAGCACAGTGCAAGTAATTTAATAAGCACCAGCACCAGGCAAGGATTACACAACACAAAGAGCATGCCAAGTGTCTCGCTCAAGATTGAAATTAAGTACCAAAAATGTGACTACAAAATGCAATAAAATGTATACTCCATACCAAAGTGCGAGGCCATACGAAAAGTGAATTATTTAGTTTTCCAATTTTGTATTCTCTTTTCTGGTATTGAACAATATTATTGGGTCTTTTATTGTTCGTGCCACGGGCAACTCCATAGTCTCGACCGAGAAGTAGTGTAATATCCAGATTTCGTACAAATGTAGTCACTAAATTTTTTCTCAATGAGCGATAAAAAAAAAGTAAACGTTTCACATTATTATCTCTGTTTAAATGGGCGCAAAATTTGGGTTTGAATTTATTTTGAGCTTTCCTTCCTAATAGAAAGAAGATCATCCGATCTGAACAATACAAGAATGTATATATCAATACAGCTTTTTAAAACACTTTAAGATATACCAAAATATATTTCACATGCTTAATACTTCAATCCCTTAGTTTACTTCAATAATTAACTTTTTGATTGATTAGTAGTAGCGATTGGATTACATAGAGGATTAAAATCCAACCAGAACTGCTTGATCTCATAATCTATTAGCTCAGAATATCTCTTGAACCCGTTAGGCCCACCAACTTCAACACCATATACAATTTCCGTGACCTGTGCATTGAGGGAATATAATACATAAAGCCTCCGAAGCTTGGTGGCTGCAAAAGGGTTAAATCGACGGACAGCTGTTTCTGCTGATTAATTGCCCAAACGCAAGACACGCAAATTAAATTAGCCAATAAACGGCGGGCGGTCCGTACGCAAAGCCGGACCCAAAGCTGTAGCCTGTAGTCGGTGCTGTGCAGTCGCCCCAGCGAGCGAACCGTGAAAGTGCCAACTTAGAAATTTGGTTTTTATTTTCGCCAAAAGGTTACAACATTAAAAACAAATGAAGCCCTAATGGACTACGAATGCACAGTGCCCCAGAGCCATAGTCTGACTCTGGGCCAGAGCTTGTAGCAAGTCTGGCATGGAACCCGGCACGGCACAAATAATTGGCTTAATTTTTAATTGACGCGAAATTAATAGCCTCGGCCAAATGCGGGGGTGCGCTGGATGTTGCCATTGAAAATGAAAGGCAAAAACAAGGGTCATCGATGGAGAACTGTGCCCATTCACAGATCGAAAAAGAAGAGCCAAAACATACTTACAGCTGGAGGATTCTTAAATGCGCTGCCTTTAAATGTATTTCTTTATATTTTAAGAAACATTTACAAGAATTTTAATAAATTGTTTTATTCGCTTTCAAAAAGCTAGATATTTCACAGAAATGTACGAAAGTTTATTTAATGATTACTAATTGATTATTAAAAAGCAGGTAAAGTGGGGC